ATTAGGTTATACTTTTGTTGCTAAGCAACATGACATAAAAGTCATGGTTGGAATGTAGTGTTAGCAAAATGCAATGGCTTTTCTGTATATTAGAAGTTGTTAATCTAACTGATTTTTACCAATAATTGTTCTATGAATATGCCACGATTTCATTTCTTGAATCATCTTAATTTTAGTTGGCTCACAAAGGACTTTACTGATGTTTGACTGCACCTTTCTGTCAAGCTTGATTTTGCAAAATTTATTTACTTCAGTTAGCTATGAAATGTGAGGTTAGGGTATACTATTAGTTGGGGTGGTAGTACTTGCCTTGTCATTTTTGATGGGCTATACACTAGTCATAAAATAAAAATTGAGTTTTTTTTACACGATAACTATAAAGAAAAAGGAGACCCAATTACTGTCCCAGATAGAATTAATTATCTACAACATATTGCTGTATCAAGAGGATTTTAACCCAATGTAATTGACAAGTTGTTTCATAAAATCAACAAATAATTTTATGGAAAAACCCAAAAAATTAAAATCTAAACAGAATTAAACCCACTTATTAATCTTCCATATTCTTTAAAAATCTTGGATACATTAAGTACATTATAGAAACAGGCCAGGTGGTTAGGGTGCTCGACTCGCAATCTGAGGGTCGCGGGTTTGAATCCCCGTCACACCGAACATGCTCGCCCTTTCAGCCGTGGGGGCATTATAATGTGATGGTCAATCCCACTATTCATTGGTAAAAGAGTAGCCCAAGAGTTGGCGGTGGGTGGTGATGACTAGCTGCCTTCCCTCTAGTATTACACTGCTAAATTAGGGACAGCTATTGCAGATAGCCCTTGTGTAGCTTTGCTCGAAATTCAAAACAAACAAACAAACAATTATTGAAACATAACCAAACTAAACCTATCTGTAACCTCACTGGAAATGTTCAAATAAAACCAATAAAGGAAAATACTTTGTAGAATGTTTCCAGAAACAAAGAATATGTTCGATCCAGTATTCTTGTAACAAGGTTTATATAAGACAAACGAATGTAAAATCCCTGAATGTAAAAATAAAGGAATATGAAGATCACAGTCATCATTGTGAAAGAGAAAATCAGCTGTTATTACTCGTGTACCATACTGATCATAAAATCAATTTAATAGAAATTTGGCTCATTGCAGAACCAAAATATTTTCCTCACAGAAATATTAGAAAATCAATTGAAATATATAAAAATAGACAAACGCTTTTGAACAATGATATTTATCTCCAATTTAATATAATATGTAATACATTTTTTAGCAATATGAATGATGTAATTAGGCTCAAGGTATAAATTCTCATGATTTGAACACATTGCTTTATTTGATACATTAAAAATAGGTAGTTCTTTTTTTTGTTGTTTTTTGCTTGAGTTTTCATGTTGAATTTGTGCATTCAAATAGGTTGTAATTTTGTAAACAAGTCTACTTATATATGTAAAGTTCTGAAATTTTTAACTGTGTTTGTTTATTAACAACAATATATCGAATATTCAATATTTTATTCTGGAGATTAAAATATTTTATTTTTCAAAATTCGTGTTTCTTATAAAAAAGATTTAATTAGCATTGAAAACATTGATTATTTGTTGATACTTTTCTGTAGTTCTAATATTTACCTTATTAACTAAAGTTTAAGATGAAAGTGGAAGTCAACATGATATTAAAAGCAATTCATTTTTTTAACTGAAAATTCTTTTGGAATTAGTAAAGATGATATCAGAAATAATTAATTTTTTTACTGAAGATTAGGATTTCTACACAAGTGTTAGATAGATTTGCTTTAACAGCAGGATCAAACAGGAAAACTGAGAAGTAATCTGTGTTGGAAAATGTGACTGAGTTTTAATCTTGTGTAAGTAAATAAAAAAGCTTGGACAGGTTTGAGAGAAAATGAACACAATCTTTATTTAAATCAATCAAAAAGGAATTGCAACTTGCATACTTGAGTAAAAAAAGTGGACAGTTGCTTCTACAGGATCACTGAGTAAATCATCTGTTTTCCATCTCTTGAGATGAATCTCTGGCAAACTAGTCATGATTAAAGATCAGATAGAAATGAGAAAGAATAAATGTTTCAGTCTTGCAAGAGAGCTTGTATTTTTTCTGTTGGAAGGGTATTACCACATTACTGTTGTTTTCTCACAGCATTTGCTGACTGTAAAATGCATACATCATCCACTCAGTCAGCAAAGGACATTGCATTTGTTGACCCTTCTAACACTTAAGCAAAGTATACTGCAACACCCCCTCAGTTAAAGTAGATACTATCTGCTATAGAGAACACAAAAACCAGAACTTTAATGGTTTTATGGACCACATATTTATTCCAAAATTGCATAGAAACTAACCACACTAAAAATTCCTTTGTAAATAAAAGCAGGAAGAAAACGTATGCTTGCATATCTCAAGATTATTCAACATGATATTAGAAATAATTAATTTGTTAACATCCACTTCACAAGTCCTATTAGTAGATATGTGCTATGATCTGCAGGACATTTTAATTGCCCAGTTCTCATCACTGATGCGTAACACTGCTACAAGTTGTCTCGAAACAACAGAACTTAGTGTCATGTTCTTATAAAGCAAACCCATATGAATAAAGGGATCACTTGTAGATTGAAGCATTCCTGTTCTGTGTATATATGTGAGTCTGTGTACAGGGTTATGAAAACTATTATAAAGGAATATAAAAATCAAAGAATAAAAGCAGAACCATATGAAAACAGTAAAGATCCCAGCTTCTCTACTATTTTATTTTAATTTTCTTACTTTTTTTCAAAATATTCTTATTCAGTCCATCAGCCCTCACCAGGCAATCCATGGGAGAGCTTAGCGGGTTGATGCCGTATCTTGATTCACTTTTTACAAAATTGGACCAAAAAATGTTAATTTGTATTGACTGACTTGTATTGTTTTTCTATCAACACAGATTTTTGTTGGCAAAACTGAAACATGTTCACAGTGTGCCAGTGAAATATGATGATCTCTGATCAGTTTGGCAGTAGCCTTGTGTTATGTAGAGTAGTTCATCAAATGCAATTTAGGTTACAACTAAATTTTCTAATACTCTTCGTGCTAATAATCAATATGCAGTTTTGTAATTTAAATGTTAAAGCATTGATTTAGTTTCTCAGTTACAAATATGTGATATCTATATATAACAATATATATATTTTGAAAACTAAAAAATTTTATTTAAAAAACAATGATTATTTTATTCAATAAAATTTTTGAGTTTTCAAAATTGAACATTACATGTGCCAAAAAAATAAACATTTTGAAAAAAAAAAACAATATAGATAGTTTAAAAATGTGTAAAATTATTAGTCTAGGTCAATTAACATTAAAGTACCAGAGCCATAGCAGCCAACAGAATCACATGAAGTTATCTGTGAGGCTCTTGTTTGTACAGCTTATTATGTGACCATTGTCATAACATATATTAATAATATCTGAATTGAAAAGTATTTATAAGAATAAAAGGACCAGTAGTAGGATCAAAACATTGGGCATCATGGCATACTTGATGGGGGCTCTAACAAAATCTCACAAAACTCACTTTTTGGGCATTTTCTAGCATTATTGTAATGGTGCCCATCAGATGCAAAGGACTGCTTATTCCCTGTTATTTAGGAAGGCTTTTATTGTTATACTTTTCTTTGTAATTTCAAATACATTATTCATATTTACTGACCTTCTGTTGAATTGATTTAAGGTGAAGGAAGGTACATTCATCTTATACTTAATTACTTTTTTTTTACAAGTACAAACCTATTGATATGTTCATAATCTCCTTGCAAAATATAGGGTGTGCACAAATGAATGGTGGGGTTTTGTGAGAAGATACTCACTGTGCATTCAATTTTTGTTTATTTGATTTACCAACTTCAAACGTTTTTGTAAATACTGTTTTATCCATTTCAAAAGGTTTTTGAAATGGTATTACACAACTTCAATGTGTGCAACAGTGTGGCACACATCATATCAATTATCAATTTCTGTCCATACTTGGTCCAGAATCTCTGGCGTAACACTTTCAAATACTATAGTGACACTTTGAAGTAAGTGAGCCAAATCAGCAATCTTTTCACTGTACACGACGTTCTTCAAGTGGCTCCACAGAAAAAAATCTAAGGCATGAGGTCAGTACTCCTTGGGGGCCACACAATTGGCTTGTTTCTTCTGTTCCATCAGTCGGAGAATCTGGCATTCAAAGCCCTGCAAACAGTCTTGAACCACAGAATTCATGCTGCATTTTATTGAATGGTACTCATTAGAACAGAACCCTGCAACACGAAACACTGCTTTAAACAAAACTATATGGGTATATAAATAAGTGGATATGCATATAATGCTGGGTATTGTAGTAGCGACATAATGGCAATGTCACGAAACCCCACCTTTCATTTGTGTACACCCTGTACAATAAATCTTGTATGATCTATAGATTTTGCCTATTTTATGAGCAAAATAACTCTACTTTGCCCTTCTGTTTGAAAAATTCAAACCCTACTTTTTGATATAATTGTCTAAACTCTTTAAAAGCTGTGGCATTATACCATGGTTTAATTTCAGATTCTTTTTAGTATTTATAATTTCTTATCATAGTTTATGTGAAAGAATATTTATGTATTGTATGGGACTACGATTCATCTTAATAGTAGTTTGTATCAAATTGTTGATCAATTTTTTTGAAGAAAACTTTCTATTAGGGCATTATAAAATTGTTTAAAGTTTAGGCTAATGATTTTGTACATGATTCTGTGATCTGCCCTATAATAATTGTTTATCCACACAGGTAAAACCAGATCAAGCATTACCTTCTCCTAACCAATTGCTGAGGAAAATCATTATCAAAAACAAGAAGAAACACTATCCCCGAGGTAAGACTAAACATTTTATAAATTAGAGTTATTACAAACAATCTGAACAACAAAAGCTAGGATGGTGACACTGAATAAATATGTTGACTTTAAAGAATTGCTTTTCATTCACTGTAGTTATAATGAAGTTGAAACATTGATGTATTTTACAAACTAGAGATGTGGTACCCACTAAACCTCTCTCAAAATAAACTAGTGGAAACTGTGAACTAGTCAAGAGAAAGTTAAAATAATATGCATAGATGAAAATAGAAAGTAAGAAAAAAAAGATGAAATCAAATTTAAAAAAATTTTTTTAGTAAATGCTTTTTATCAAATAGCTTACTTGATGAAGAGTGTTTGGTCAGAGTGCCAAAAATAAATCAATTTGACTTAGTGGAAAGTGTACATTGTCTAGGGAATTAGAATTTTCCACCAATTTGCAGATTTCCATCATTTTAGTGCTGACCAGGTTTATTTGGAAGACTAGCAGTAATTTGGCTATTTTGCCATCCCGATTACGCACTCAAAAATAAAACACTCTCAAAGTCAGACTTTCATAAACAAGTATCACTATGTTTCAATTCTCTGCATCAATATGTTCTCTACAGTTTGATATCTTGTGTATAATTGCCACATTTTTTACTTGTCAGAATTGAGCTAATATGTTTTCTCAATCTTAAACAGTTGTGTGTTTATAGTATGGGTTTGTTTTTCCATGAGCAAATTTATTGATAATTTACCCATTCGTGTATCTTAAAGATAGAATGAAGTTTAAAAATGGGAAAAAGTTTTTGAGTGGCAGGATGAAGTCAAGAATAGAGAAATTGATAGTGCAGTTAAAAACAAATTATGGTGGAACTGACTGGAGAAAGAATTAGAAGTTATGTTTGTTGTTGGAAGTAAACTAAAAGGGGTGAAGTCCAACACTAGAAGATTTATTAGAAAAAGCTTTGTGTGATATCTAACAAACTTTAAACTGTGCTTTAAAAGGTTGTTTTACAATCTTGCCATATGGAACTACTAAAAAGCATGTAGAACTGTCTGTCAAGTAACAAAAGTTGGCTAATTTACTGCAAAATCTAAGGGCACCATATATGTGAGATGTATGAGAAAAATGTATGAGAGCTTCTAATTTTCACAAGGTACCCAGCATTGAACTCAAATTGTTTTTTCTTCACCCATTCTCATCCATGGTTGAAATGGTAAAGGAACAAATTAAAAGTTTGATCCTCAGACAAAATACTTTTATAATCACAATATTTTTCTACATGTTTCATGTACTCTACAAAGTGTATAACCTTTCTTAGGTACATCACTAAGTATTTCATTTGATAGGTATGAATTACATTCTTTGACAGATTAGTTTCTCTAATTATAATACATAAACTTTATAAATAATTTGATTAATTCTATAAAACAAAGTTAGGATGTAATTTAAAGAGCAAAGTCCTGAAGGGCTTCTTTGAAAGAAGTTTAAGCTGAACCATGCTAACTGTTTTTTTTTTTTTTTTTAGTTAAACTTAACTTATAAAATGAAGCAAAAAGTATTTTAAAATGTTTAAATCTCCTAGTTCCTGTCAAGGCTGGTGGGGATGTACTACAAGACAGCACTGAAGAACTATCCCACCCTCCTCCAACCCCAGAACGGACACGTCCCACGCTAACAGCTTCCAACAGTGTAGAGAGCCACAGTGAGACCAGCACTGCAGTTGCAGCTAGAGAGGAGGATGTGGATGAGGGAGTGGTAAATGAGATAGGAACCTCTCCAAAGATGCAGGGAATCAGCTGTGACATTGAAGACTCTGATACTGACTCAGGAACAGAAGAAGAAGAAACTCCTGAGGTGCCTTTAGAGGACCAAAATGAGGTACTCAAAAAATTTGAAATGGAGTAATTTGATATGAAGATTTAGGGTTACAACAACACACGTTTTTTTATTACTGAGGTCAGAGATCATTTTTAGCTTGGTTTTAAAGCAGCATGGATGACAGTGATTGATTTTGTTCAGAAATTAACTGTGTGGTTATAAAATTTAGATCAAGGAGAACAGTCATATTTATCAAAACAAAATTAATAATAAAATCTACATTTATTGTAAAAGTAATAAATCAAAATATTATATTGGAAAAAAAGTATAATACAGTGCATTATTTTATGTAGTAGTCACGATCTGCAAAACATTTGTGGTATTTTTCATGCCCTTCCCTTGTATTTTCCTTATTCTATCATTTTCATGCATAGTTTTTAAGCTACTCTTTCTTGCAGGCATTATATAATGTGTTAGATCAATAAATTCTGGTCTATTTCAAGAAATTTTATGTGATCAGATAAACAAGCTAATGTAGACCTAACTTTATTTAAGCAAATTACACGTACATAACTTAATTTAATAAAACTACATGTAAAGTAAACAATAAAGTACTAGTATTTATAATAGTGTACAGAGTATGAAACAGTTATGAGCGTTCAGAGTATGACACGATTTTATGAGTTGAAACAAAGAAACTAAAAAAAACAAAGAATAAAGCCCGTAGCAAAGAACAAAGTAGCTAAAGGTGTTTATAGCAGTCTATGAAACAAACTGAAGCTAAATTATTGCAAAGTAAATTAAATGTAAAGTTGTAATGAAGGCAAACTTAGCTGAATATGCAGAAATGTCTGAATGCATGTTCACAAAGTAAATAAGTCAAAAAAGCATACAGAAATTGTATTTAGTGTAATGTTAATCTTTTTTTGGAAATTACATGTGGGTTAAGTGCTGTTTTTGTGAAATACTTTGCAAATAAAAAAGTAATGTTGAAACCGAAACCATTCATCACATGATCACAATGACATTGTGTAGCATGCTTATTGCATTGAAAAGTTTGACTAAGTAAAAAACAGGTAAGATAATTCTGAATGGACAAGTAATCTGGACTCCTTAGACAAAAGCCTTTCTAATGATATGAGATTTGTAGCATTTGATAGAGAAATTTGCAAGAAATGTTCTGGACAGACAAACGTAAGGATATTGTTTATATACATATTTATACTATGAATTTATTAAAACATATTTTTTTTAGTGAACTTAAAAGATAAGATATTGTGGTTTGTGTTAACATTTTTCTATTAATCAGAAATATAGATTGATATTTAAGAATGTGTTTGGCCTTTTTTTCACTATGAATGACCAGAATAACGTGTTTATTTTAAGTAGGGCAGGGCAAAAATCCAACTTGTTACATTGTATCTAGTGTGGTATAATTTAGATAATTCAGGAAGTTTAATTAATAGTAGAGGTACCCGAATTAAAGGAATGAACAGAAATTTGAATAATTTCATATATTTTATATTCAGAACCAATAGGGTTTAGTTTAATTGTTATTTTTCAACAACAATTAGCTGTGAATTAGCTTACTGTGTGAAGTATAAATATATCCATATTGCAGTCTGAGTAATCATCTGGATAAAGATTTGTTTACTATATACACTACTTTAATACTTGTACATGGTTATTCTGACAAGTAACATCCTATGAAACATTGTGTCAACTTTACATCTGTTGCTTTCACCAAGCTTAAACTACAAGAGCTTCTTAAAGGCTATACCTTCATAGTTAAAACTTTGCTCCTGAGAAAGATATATGTGTTTATCATTCAAGTTTGGTTTACTAAATTTATAGTTTATATGATCTGTTGTGATATTTCATATTTCAGGGCACAGCTGCTAAAGAATCAGAAGCTGGGGCTGAAATGTCAGCATTAGTCAACTATGTACAGCCTGTTCGATTTCATACCTTTGAATTTGCTGAGAGTGAGCTTATAACATTTTTTTATATTTTCAGTTTGTTGTGTTTTCCTTTGTATCAGATAAACACCAAATCAAAAATCATTAAATTTATTAATGTTTTTTTGCATATTAGTATTCAAATAATCTTGGATAATCATTTAGATTCCTGTATTGATGTGTGTGTATATATATATGTTTTCCAGCCATCTTGCTTGATTGGTTACCATTTTAATTTTAATCACTTGACCATTTGAGTTTTTATCTGTGTTATTTAGCAATTAGTAAGCAACTTGATTAAAACTTGGCATGAATAAAACTGTTAACAATTCTAAAAATTCATAATTGTAAGGGAATTATAATTCATAAATATGAATAAAATCTAGATATTATTGTAAGCACGGGGTGTCATAAATGCCATTGACAATTTAACAGTAAGGATTGTAGTTTTCTACTAGGGATGTGAGTTCAGGCTCAGAGCCCTAGTGCACTCATTACTAGGTTGATTTTTATTTTTGATCTATCTAGGTAGCTTCCTCTGATCAGAAGTCAATATTAATTAAGTCAGGTGGTTAAGCCTCAACTAGTGTAGATTCACTAACACTCAATTTATTATAACATTGTACTACTTAAGCTTATTACTTGACTTCTTACTGCAGGAAATGCCCTTAGGCCTAAAGAAAAACAACTTCTAAAGTTATATAAGTAATCACAGGATAAAACGTTTTTTCTTCATGTTGAGATTGATACTAGGTTTCTTGCATGCAAATGTTATGTTGTCACATCATATAGTAGGAACTAATTAAGGGCAGGAATCTCGCAAGAATTATAGATATTAAAGTTCAAATGACTAAAAATTAAGTGGAATAGACGGATGTATAAAAATACAGTGTTTCAGCATGTTAGCATGTTACATCTTACTTGGCCCGGCATGGCCAGGTTGTAAGGGACCTCGACTCGCAATCTGCGGGTCGTGGGTTGGAATCTCCGTCCCACCAAACGTGATCGCCCTTTCAGCCGTGAGGGAGTTATAATGTGACGGTCAATCCCACTATTCGTTGGTAAAAGAGTAGCCCAAGAGTTGATGGTGGGTGGTAATGACTAGCTGCCTTCCCTCTAGTCTTACACTGCTAAATTAGGGGTGGCTAGTATAGATAGCCCTCGTGTAGCTTTGCGCGAAATTCAAAATCAAACAAACAAAATATCTTACTTATATATATCACATTCCATTTTTAGGCAACTTAAGTTAGTAAATTAATATGATTTTATATTATGATAAAAACGTAAAGACTGTAACATGAAATAAAGTTTAATAAGATTAAGTTTAAATGACATTCTCACTCTTTTGTTGTTGTTTTTTTTTGTTATAGGAAAAAATAGAAGTTACGAAGTTTCTTCATTTGTAGAAACACAGGCTACATGTTTATTGAAGGAACATCCTGTAGAGTTTGTCAAGTATCCTTTAAAATGTTTTCATATTATAAGTATATTAGGTTTTGAAGATCACATCTTAAGACATTTAAATGTCATAACATGGGTTAGTAACTAATGAAAGTGAGAAATAATACTGTATTTCTCTGTATTAACAGTTTCAATATAATGATCTCTCATTCTTAGCTCTACTGATTACAGTAATAATTCCTCTAAAATCTGTAATTTTCACATTCTCTGCTGTTTTACATCTTTGTATTCTGTGATTGCTGACAACAGTTACAGCAATATGGCTGGAAAGTTCCTTTACAAGAACTTAACATGGAAAACTGAGTTATTTCTTGTTTTCAATGTGTATAAATACACAGTATGTAGAACAATCTTACAATTTCTAAATCTAACGTGTAGAGCATGTTGGTTTACATTGTAAATCTGTTTGCTGTGTGAAAATTTTCTGAATGGACTAGTCAGTCAAAGCAAACATTTAAACTATAAATTACACGTATAGTGTCAATTAAGGCTACTTGTACTTACCAATATTCATCTGCATGTTTTTTTCCTGATGTCTAATTAAGTGTTCTTAGGACTTTTGAATATAAGAGTTAAACAGGTGGATTTCAAACAAATTTATTCCTTTTAACGTTTCTTTGACTTTTTGCATAGTTATAATAAACGTCAACTGAGTAGGATTTATCCACGTGGAACACGAGTAGACTCCAGTAATTACATGCCTCAGGAAAGTATAAATAGAATTTTTTAAGGATCTTATATTCTGTTTATGTATACATCCGTCCATGTTTTTGTTTTTTTTATTGTGTTTGTTATCTTACTGATTGTCCGTTTTATCCTATTTGTTTATTTATCTGTTTATGAGCTGTTATTTGATTTTTCTATAAATTAAACTTTTATTAAAGAAAATATCACACTTATTGATGTATATAATTTTGTATGATTTCTGTAATTATAGAAAATCTACTGTATTTTTTATGCATTTCTGTACCTCCAACTTATTTTTTTCTATGTCTACAGGTATTTTGGAATGCTGGCTGTCACATGGTAGCATTGAACTTTCAAACATTAGGTAAGAATATTAGTAAGTTGTCTATTAAAGATTTTCTGTGGCTATAATGAAAACTGATCTTGATAAAGATCTGAATGTTTCTTCTTGATAATTAATTGCTTTAATTGTAGGCTTTTATTATAGTTTTTTAGGTAAGAATTCAATCTGTTTCCACATTGTAGTCCAAAAAAACAGAGTTTTATGGCATTCAAGTTTATAGAGATAATTTTAAGAACTACAGTGACCACTGGAACATGTCTGCTGGCATAACATCCAATATAGAGTTCAAATATGTAGTGGTTATGGTAAATATTGTTGGACTGAAATATGTCAGATATAATACTTGCATATTTGCTATTCAAATTTCAAGTTGTTCAAATCACATAAGAAATGTAAACCTTGTGATCACCTGTATTGTATATATGTTGTCTGCAGATCTGGGAATGCAGTTGAACTTGGGTATCTTTGAATATAATGCTCGTAGTGGTTACCTCTTGAAGCCTGACTTTATGAGGAGAGGAGATCGAAAGTTTGATCCATTCATAGAGTCAACTGTGGATGGTATAATAGCTGGTACAGTATCTGTCAAGGTAATCTTGGTTACTCAGTCTGGTGGTATTTAGAGTTAATTGATGTTAAAAATCTTAATCCATGTATAGAGACAACTGTACATGGTATTATTACCGATATTGCACAAGTCAGAGTAAACTAGCTATTTTGATCCTGTGCGTTTTTAGCTTCTCAATATGCACAACTTAAGTTAAGATGGTTGTGAAAGTAAAATGGAATTCATACATTCTCACATAACATTTACAAACATCTACAATAGAAATATTGCTATTGCTGTGAAAAACTGGCATCCAATTTTGTATTATATAAGACAATTTTCCCTTATACAAATGCATTTTTCTTTTCATAATTAGATGTTACTAATGTGTTGTATTCATCTTTTTGCTATTGAAAAAGTAAAATGAGAGTTTATTGTCATGTGTTCTATTTTATTTTCACTAATAGGTAAATATAATCACTTGGTAACTATCACATGACATTGATTAACTTAAAGAATGCAGCTGAGATGGCTGAGATTTAAAGTCAATTTTTTTATTATATTTCAGTTTGTAGTGTTAAAAATTATAATCTGTATGAATGTCATTTTGGAACTTGAAAACAAAAACTTGAATTATTTTCAGATAATTTCTGGCCAGTTCTTAACTGACAAAAGAGTTGGAACTTATGTAGAAGTGGATATGTATGGACTTCCTGCAGATACTGTACGTCGAAAATTCCGTACCAAGACTGTTCCTGCAAATGGAATTAATCCCATTTTTGACGATGATCCATTTGTCTTTAAAAAGGTAATTCAATATGATTTTGTGAAAAATATGAATACTTTTATTTTGTACTTTATTGTTCAGTTACACCATTCTTTTGTTAATGATGTCAGTCGATTGGACTGACCATTTCTGTGAAGCTATGTATTGTAACTTCTATAATTCTCAATTTATTGAATGTATCTTATATATTTTGTTGCTTATTTTCTCTACTCTAACACCAACTGTCGTGAAATCATGAATATACAGTGAATCGAAAAATACAAAACTTTTAATAATGCCTTTTTTTTTGTAGAATCACTGCAGATTGTAAAAAACAATTACAGTTATTTATCCTAACAGTCATAGCTTACTAACCTTTCATGCCCTAGTTTCTTTTAATTCTGTTACTTCAGACCTTATTTAAGTGCCTGACAGGCAGTTAACAACAGCAGAGCTTAGTGTAAATAGCCAATCAAGTTACAATCACATGATGCAATTAGCTCAAACTTGTGGTATTCTTTAATCTTTGTTTTGCATTTCCTTTTGTTACCTAACCTAATAAATTTCTGATGTTTACATTGGAGTGACTTTTTGTTTAAAAAAACTAATAAAAATAACTAAAAAACACTACATTAGAGTTGAAGCCTATTTCAGTAATTTGTACTCAAGAGAATACTTCTTTAGCACTTGCTTTTTCATTCTGTGTTGGTTATCTATAAAATCATTAATGTTCCTTTAAAATATGCATTTTAGAACACCAAAAATATGTCAGGCAGTAGAATATAATGTCTCAAAACTACTATAATTTAACTGGCTTCCTAACTAAGCTATAAACATGTTAAAACTATTTTAACTGCTGATAGCAGAAAAACACAAGCACAAACAATGAAACTGACACTGAATATCTATATACTGGTGCCAAAATGAAATATCAGTATAAAGAATCTTGTAAAATATCACTGTAATCCAGTAGCAATGTCACAGAGGATTATTGATATTTTTTGAAAGACAGTATTATCTTATATCTCAGTAAAGCAAGGAGACTGGAAGTTCTAAGTTTTTATTCTGACTTGTCACGATTATAGTATGTGTTTTTGATTTGTTGGACACTCAGAAAGTCATATAAAGGTAGAAAGAAATCTAAAATAGGTAATTTGGAGTACATTCAACTCACATTACACAGAGAAGTGAAGATTGAGAATTTTCAGTGCTTCATTTTGAAATTAAGATATTAAAACTTAGGTATCAAAATTTAAATTATAAACTAAATTTCTATGCTACATTTATTAACAGACATTGATAATAAAGATATTTAAGTAAATGTTTGAATGTAACTCTGTAAAAGATTGCAACATGTGCACTTTGACCCTACAGTACACGTAGAGTTGTATGGAAAACTCTGTCAAACCAGCTGATGGAGGAAAATTTAGAAATTGGATTCTTCCCTACTTGAGATACTAACCAGTCTGATACATTCATGTCAGAACTATCTTTTCCCTGTTTTTTGCCTTTTTATGTGTTGTCTTGTAATAAATTTCTTTATAAATAAAGACAGTCTCAAAAGTAAATATGAAACTTGTGTATTACTGTATTTTATGCAGAAATCTTGATTTGAGCCTAGCATATTTGGGTTCTAGGTTGTACTTCCAGACCTGGCGTGTTTGAGAATAATTGTAAATGAAGAGAATGGGCGTTTTATTGGTCACAAGCTGTTACCTGTAGTTGGGCTTCGTCCAGGTATTTATATTTTTGTGTGATTTTACTAACGTCTTTAACTTTTCCAACTGGTATTAGTAAGATACCTTATGTTACTAATGCTCTAATTGACAGAGGTTCTAGTTTCACTCAATATCAGCTCTTATTAGTCCAGCTAGATCAATGAAATTAAGAATCTTCATAACTCAGCTTTGGTTGATGTTGTTTAATTAGTATGGTTTCCTTAGTTTGAAGAGAACATCCATTCTATGCTCTGGCCATGGTGGAACTCAATTAAGCTGTTAATGATGCATTTCAACTCATCTTGGTTGATAATTGATTTATTATTTGCTGAGTTCCTTGCATTTTCTTTTATATGATTGTACACCCCAAATACATGAATTGCATGTTTATATTGACACACTACATGTGATGTTGATAACATTGAAATACTACATGTGATGCTGATAACATTGACACATTACACATGATGTTTGTAACATTGACACACTACACGTGATGTTTGTAACATTGACACACTACACGTGATGTTTGTAACATTGACACACTACACGTGATGTTTGTAACATTGACACACTACACGTGGTGTTTGTAATATTAACACTTGATCTTTAGAATTGAACACATTCTTTAGTCATTAAATGATTGAAAATTTATATGCTGTTCTCAACGTAACCTGGAGATAATAAATCATTAAAATTTATGTCAGCCTATTTGTGATCTCAAGACTGTACCTTCCAATGTAAGGTAAGTACACTCCCACACACACTCACACTTTAGCAAATGTTTTTAAACACTGGTTATAACAATGTTTCTGAAAGTTCAAATCTATGTTTTACAGTTGTATTGATGACACATTTGTTATTTTCAATGATAAATAACATGTCAGTAGATTTACTGTACAGAGACATCTCAAAAGTAAATAGACACCATGATGTTTATTCAATAGTCATTTAATTGAGAAAGGCATCCAACGGGTCCCATGGCCAAGTCTGTCATCTGATATGACCCCCATCGAGCATGTCTGGGCCATACTTACTCGAGCAGTGAGAAGAAGTTCCAGAAAACCAGTGTCCCGTGGAGAGCTACTAGATGTTTTGCGTGCAGCCTGGGTCAAGATCCTACAGGAGAAAATTGCAGAACTTATCGATTCCATGCCAGAACAAGTCAAAGCAATGAAAAATGCTAGTGGCAAATAGACTAAGTGCTGATGCACATTTGTAAACATTTTTGTTAAGTTGATAATGTGAGATAAATGACTATTGAAAAAAATCATGATGCCTATTTACTTTTGAGATGTCTCTGTATATGAATATCTGCCAAAAAGTATTAAGTTCACAGTGGAGGAAGAATATAACTACCTAAATGACAAATGTTGTTCTAGCCAGTATCACTAACCATCTTCTACTTGACTATATGCACACATGGATCTAATGTTATAGAAGTCTCAGTGAAGTGGGTATATAAATGTTTAGGTATGTTTGTATTGTTTCTTCATGAATTGCAGATAATCACAAATGTTCTCAAGCTACTAGCTTAATAAATAAAGTAACTAAATGTTTTTAAACCATGTAAACATATCTGGAGCTAAGAAAATCAAGTCACAAACATCATTAAATATTGTTTTGCCATACCTTGGAATGTGAAATTTTAAGATTGGAAAAAGACATAGGGAAATTTTGAAAATGCATTACCTCCAAGTTAAGTTCAGCACAATATTTAACTAAAAAAACCTGTTAAGTATTAAATATCAAGTGTCAATGTTACAAACATAACATGTGATGTATTTATATAAATGTGTCAAATGTTAATTGATGTACTTGGGGTGTACCAATTGCCATCTAGGTAATCGTATAAAAGAACATTGCACAGAAGTTGCCAAACAGTAATTCAAGTATCTACTGATATGCATTAAATTGTGATATATCAGTAATAGCTCAACAGTTTTCAATCATGGCTAGAGCTTGGGACAAATGGTCCCTACAAATTAAGGAGACCTTTATAATCGAATATAATCAAGCGAAGTTGAATTGGAAAAATTCTTCAATTATTTTTAATTTTAAATCATGAACATGTGAGATGAAACATTTTAGATCAATGAAAGTAAAAGTTACCTAGTGTGGTAAAAAATCTGTGAATGAACATAGTTTGGTACAAATATTTCTTGTACACTTGTCTTTCATTATAAAAGAATAATTTTGTGACTTTAGCAGAATAGAACATTTCCTATCAACAAATACGTATAGCTATGCTGAGTGATTTTCTATGTCGTGGATCTATTTCAGATCAGTGATTTCCACCTTTTTCTTTGTAACAGATTAGTTGAATCTTTGTTAAAAGATTTTAGACTGTTGGAAGTATTTAGGTCTGTACTACAGAATGTGATCTATAGATGTGAAGTACCCAGAATGTAGATATTTATACATAGAGTTGTGAAAACAAGTTTGAAAGGATATGTAATTTTAATAATTGGAACTAATGTTTTCAGACTCCAGCACTTGATATTCATATTTATATGCTACTTTTCACAATTGAAATGTGAACACACTTTTGATTAGAAATTACTTTTCTTTAGGTCAGTCTGTTATTTTGTATTTTACTGATTGCATAGAATTGTTTATTCTTGGGAATGTAAACTGTGAACCTTTGCAGATAGTATGAAAGGTTTACTTTGATATTTATAAGCTGATTTCTGAGGAACGCTTGTGTGATGTTTTTTTGTTTTTGTTTTCATAAGGGACAAATCTCGCTATAACTGTAATTTATATGTGATAAATATCATAAATGCAGTATCTTCAAATAGTAATACTGTTAATATTATGACAGAACAGAATAAGAACACTTAGTCAGCATTTCATTAAGTTTTGAAAGAGATGTCTGTCTGAAATACAAACAAAAATGCTTTACTATTGTGATTATGCTTGTATTCATACAATGGCATAAACCTTACCCCAAAACTGTTACTGAAACTCATGCACATTTTATACAATAAAGGTTCTTTTTCTCTTAAATAGTTCAAGCTTTTTTTAGTATTGTTTTCAAAAAACATGCTTGCTTAAAATACGTAATGTTCATACTTTATGTTGATTTCAGGATATCGGCACATTTCCTTGCGGAATGAGTCGGGTCAGCCTTTGACCCTCCCAACACTTTTTGTCCACATAACTGTGAAAGATTACATTCCTGATGGCTTCTCAGGTAAACTGTAATACATTTCTAGTTATTATTTCAAATATTGATAACTACCAACAGTTCCTCAGCTAAACACTGATAATGACGGAAATATTCTCAGGTAACCAGTAATGTGTGTCTAGTTATTATTTCAAATATTGATAACTACCAACAGCTTCTCAGGTAAACAATAGTATGTCTCTAGTTGTCAATCACAATACTGATAATGACTGAAATATTCTCAGGTAACCAGTAATGTGTGTCTAGTTATTATTTCAAATATTGATAACTACCAACAGCTTCTCAGGTAAACAATAGTATGTCTCTAGTTGTCAATCACAATACTGATAATGACTGAAATATTCTCAGGTAACCAGTAATGTGTGTCTAGTTATTATTTCAAAT